ACTGGTCACAGAGCCTTCTATGGGGGGGTAGGTCTTGCAGAAAGCTTTTCAAGGGGGTTGGACTGGATGGCCTTACCAGGCCCCTTCCATCTTCGATTATTCGATGATAAAGGCATGGTGGGACCTACGCGGTGGCCTCCCCTACTGACAGGTGCCTTCTTGTGGGGCTAATGTCCATCTTTCCTGACCAGCAAAGCCTGTCTCCCTAACGTCGTCCTTTGCTGCCTTGCCCAAAGCCGGCTGGATGGCTCAGGGGTTCAGTTACCTGGCTGGGAGTTCGGATTCCCTCCCTGGCCCTCCTGAGAGGAGAGCCAGCCTTGGGGGCAAAAGCCCCACACCACCCCAGAAGAAAGGAACGGGGAAACCACTTCTGAATATGCTCTGCCTAGAACACCCGGGAAAGGGTTGCGTGAATCAGAATGGACTTCAGGCACACTCTTGTCGTTGCTGTTATCCTTATCATCCATTCCTCTTTTTTACCTCTCTGAAGGAGAGAGAGGCCTGGAGATGTAGCCCCACAGAACAGAAAGACCCGTCCTTTCACACACTCTCTCCCCCCTCCCCACCCCCGCCACTGTCACTCATTTCATTCAGAAAAACACTCATGAGAGAAAGGGTGAGACATAGAGCTATGACAGCAAAAGAGGAGCTCCTCCCCGTGGCTCCTTTCAAAAGGGAACCAGAAGTGTGCACCTGTTTCTTTTCCCACCTCTATGGCAATCAGTAAATGTGCAGGCAGAGTGGCCTCCTCGTGAGTTTTCTACGTTAGGACCTGGAAGAAGGGAAAAGGTGAGCCTGAGCTGATCTCCCCTCACTTTTTCTGGACCAAAATCAAAAAATCAAAAATAAAATCCCAAATCCCTCCAGGATCTGCAAGGCAGGAAGATGAATGCTGTATCCCATAGCAGCAGAAGCACACCAAATAACGTCACGCTGTGAGTAATGGTTATTACTATTGTTGTTATTTACACAAGGCAGCCCTTATAAAGGACCTCCTTGCTTAGAGTAGAGGGGTCAAAGAAGAAAACCATCCCTCTCTCGGCCTGCTGGCTTATGGCATGAAGCACCACGACAGAAAAGGAAAAGGCGCTGGGGAAGGAGGAGGAAAACAAGCAAGGTTAGGCACCAGTGCTTGCAACAATATTATCTCAAAGGTCCTTGTCCGCTGGTTGAGGCAGGAGGATCTTCCTGAAATGAAGGATGCATATCCTCCAACCCAACTGCGCTGAAGTGGGGCGGGGGGGGCTGGAATAGAAGCCCCTTCTGCAAGTCCAAAGCACAGAAAAGTGTAGCTGAGGCTGTGTTGGTGGGGGACGGTGGGCGTTGTAGTAGCTGTTGAAGGCTGTGCTACAAGGATCCTGCCGTCTCTCCCTTGTTTCTGGTGAAGCGGGTTCATGTTTAGAAATTGGTGTCCGGCAACAAAACCAACTCCCCCCCTCAGTCCCTTTTCTTCAGGATGACCACCACCCTGGGGGGGTGGTCATCCAGCCAAAACTAGTTGCTTGTCAATCCAGGACAGACAAAATAAAACATTTCTTCTTTTGCCCCCTCAAACGTATAATTAACCGCACTGCCACAGGAAGTGGTGTCAGCCGCAGGCTTACGCGTCTTTCAGGGTGGATTAGAGAGATGCTCGGGAGGAGGAGCGCGCCCATGCTCCCTGCGCACAGGCTGGTCTTGCTTTCTCTTCTCTTGAGTGTCACCCCCGCTCCCCCCCCCCGGTTTCCCAAACAATTCCATACCTACCACCTGATGTGTGTGTGTGTGGGGGGAGCCTTTGCAGAAATGCCCCCCCTCCAAAAAGCATCCCCCACAGCAGGGGGTGGGGAACCAGTGGCACTCCCAAGGTTTGTAACTACAACCAGCCAAAGTCTTTATCAATGGCAGTACAGCCTGGGGATTCTGGGAGTTGTAGTCCAAAGCATCTGAGATACTAAAGGTTTGCCTGTTTGGTCTCTGTAGAATGATGCTGGGGTGGGGGGTGAGGGAGAAAACCTGATTGGAAGTGGATGATGCCTCTGGAAAGATGCTCCTTGCTCCCGTGTTTAATTCATTCCATCTGCACCCCACTTGTCAGGAGGTTAACATGAGGAAGAGAAGTGGTGGATCAGGTCCATGGATTTACCTTATCCCCCTTGAAGCCGTTCATTTAGCAGCCCTCCCGGGATCCTGTGCTCGTGGATTTCACGGTTCAGTTGCGTGGAGAAGAGCTTCTGTTTATCTGCCTTGAAAACCATAGTCTATAGAAGCTGGACAAAGCCTCCACATTCTGGGGCAGTCTACCCCTGAGTTTTTGTTTCCTGTGTCCTGCCTGTGTTCTGCCACAGAAGCCTTAGACCAGCCAATTCTGGGCCAGCCAAGATGTGTAGCAGCGATCTTCCCGTAAGCATCTTGTTCTGCCCCATCTGTGTGGTCTTTCAAGGTCGAACAGTGGCCAATTCAGAGCGTTCCCCGACCCCAGGTATCTCCCGTCCGTCCGTCCGTCCGTCCATCCTCTCCCCGGGCTTGGCGGCTTGCTCAGGTTTCATAACTGTCTTCCCTTGACGAGTTGCCATCCAGAGGGAAACATCTGTGGCCGCTCTGTTCCCTTCCAGCCTGCCGGGAGGTTTAGGAACCGTTGATCAATGGCTGACCTGGGGGGAAAAACAGCAGCTTGTTTCAGCCAGCTTGGCAAGCGGCTGCGTTACCCCTTCGCTCCGACTGTTGTCCTCTTGCAGGGAGGGATGGAAAATCAAGAAAGGCAGGAACCTGGAAAAATCTGTGCAGAAACTTGTTTTGGTTTAAGTGTCTCTTTCGGGTATTTTTTCTTTCTCTCCTTCAGTTCATTGTGGTTTAAATCCATGGTGCAATCGTTGCTATGGTTAACCATCACCGGCCTGATGGATTTTATATATACGTGCGTGTGTGTGTGTGTGTGTGTGTGTGTGTGTGTACACACACACACATTTTTATATACATATATTTATGTATTACAGTGAAATAGAGGCAACATGTACACACATATATACATGTAACCTCTATTTCACTGCAATACACTGTTCCAGTGCAACGTTTCTGGAAGTGAAGGATTTACCAGCCGCCTGGCCAAGAGATGCCCCCAAGTGTCCTCACAATGTTCCACCCCCCACTCTCCAGGGAGGTTCCTTCTGCCTCCCACATAGTCTGAATAATGTGTAGCAATAAAGGAGAGAGAGAGAGAAAGAGAGCTCTGTGAGGCATGGGCAGAGTGCCTCTCTCATCTGGGATCTGTGCCAAGTGATCTTGCTCTCCCTCCTGTCTGGATCCTGTTAGCGTGTGCTGATCCCACGTCTCTTGTCTTTTCTCTCTCCCTCCAGCGTGCCTCTTCCGGTTCAACGCCCTCTCCTTAGTGTATCTTCTCTACCTGCTCCTCCTGCCGTGGTTCCATGGCCCCACAGAGTACACCGTGAGAGGTAAGGCAGCAAAGGCGTGAGTCTTTGTGGGGGGAAACCGACGATTTTCGCAACTCTAGGCCCTGTGCATTTGGACAACTCGTGGCTTAGAAGAAGAAGAAGAAGGGAACTATTCTAGGCTATTCTGCAACCGATGTGGGTTTTTCGTTTTTGTTTTGTTTTTCATTTCCACTTTTTCTTCTGGTTCTGTAATTTGGAATGAAACAAAGAGGTGGTTTATTTTGATTTCTGGTTTATATGTCTGGATGTGAAAGGGCTTGAAATAAGGACTGTGGATTGATGCAAGGAAGGAAGGAAGGAAGGAAGGAAGGGTGTGGGCACTGAGAGAGACCAAAAGACATGTCCAGGGGTGGGGGTGGGTGGGACAGAACTGACACAAACTGCCCACTTACTCCTGGGAGACCCGTCTCAAGCGCCTGGTTTTCAAGCCTTCCGCAGAAACCGTCCTCAGGACTTCCACATTGATCTCCCAGACCTTGGTCACTAGAAACTTGATCCCTCTTTTTAAAAAGCAAATTAAAATGAAGCTCTAAAGTTCTCCCATTTCCTGGGAGGCATCAAGAATGTGGATTCACAAGTTCCTTACACGTGCGTACACTGAACTGTTTCTAGACCTTTGTCCCGAAACAGATGCAGAAGACTCCTCGCAGGCACCAAACATTTGGGTCCTCTCCTCCTGCTGGTCCAGACACAGGGCAGAGGGGCTCGGTGTGTGTGGGGGGTCGGTTTGCCCAGCCCAGGAAGTTTGGGACATCCTAATTCATGTCAGTGAATTAGGGTGACCCTGTTCAAGGCCCTCTAAAGGAGTGGCTGTCACCATCATTTCTGACCCTTTCTTTCTAAACAAATGTGTGTGTGGGGGGGGTCCGTATCAATTATCCTCATCTGTGGTTTTGGGTTCCTGGCCACCTCTCTGGCTCAGGGCAAATTCCCCACCCCACCCGAACGGCACCACCAGATGCTGCAGAGGAAAGTGTGGGAGGAGACTCAGGGACACTTCTGGGTGGGTGGGGAGACCCACTTGCTGCGGGCTCCAGCTTCCTGCTCTATGCCGTGGACCCAGTGGACGTGGCCTGGCTCTGCCCTGGCTTGGCATCCCTCATTGGACCCCTTCCCTCCTCCCCCCCTCCCCACACACCCTGGTAGGAGTTGGTTTCCTTCCTGGCGAGCCCATCCGGTGGGACCTGCTTTCCCTCAGTGTGTTGGGTGGCTGGCTCCCCAGCCGGCCCCTGGCTGCCTGCCGTGGCCACCTCTGGCCTCTGAGAGGAGAGGACATAGCGGCCGGCAGAGCGATGCTTGTCTGCGGAGCTGGCACGTGTTGGGAGTGGCATCAGAGTGAGGCATGGGGCGCAAGGGCCCCCTTGAGAAAGGGCCTCCTATCTCTTGCCTTTCCTCCTGTACATTTCTCTGCCCACCCGCCTTGCCATGCCGCGGCGTTGAGAGATCTTGTCTGGGATCGGGTGCCGAGAACACCGCCTGCTCCCGGGGTATCGAAACACGCCCATGGACTCTCTCTGAAGCTTTCCCCCCGCGGGCTGGCTCTGTTGTGGGCGATTGGTGTCAGGATGGAGCGGCTCCAGCAGTCTCTCCCCAGGGCTACGTCTGACCTTGGGCAAAGCAGAGTGAAATTCTACCGCAAAGACCTTTCTGCCGGCGGGCAAAGTTCTCACGGCGGTGACAAGAACAGGGGACGCGCCTGTGTTCTCAGGTTTCCCACGGATCACTCTGCTTTGGGGAGTCAGGCAAAGAGGGAAAGGTCTCGGCAAGATGCTGGCATGGCTCCCCACGTTTTCAGGAATGTCTTTATCCAGCCGCCTGTCCTTCTTTTGAGATGTCTCACAGGCGTCTCCACTGCCACCGCCACCCCAGGCATTTCGAAGCCAGTTTCTGCTTCCATTATGTTGTTACGTGTCATCCCGTTGCCCCCAGCTTATGGTGACCCTCTGAACGAGTGCTCTCCAAAACCTCCCGTCCTCTGCTGCCCGGCTCAGCTCTTGCAAACCCACGCCGTCCGTCTCGCGTTGGGTCTTCCTCTTTGGCCTTCCACGTAAGGCAGTAGAAACTGCTCTGCGAAAGAAATCCAAGTGATCTGAGATGTTGGATTCTCTGGGATCCGATCGTTTGGGGGAAAGGCGGGATGGGTGCCCCGTGGCATTTGGGTTTCACCTTTGACCTGCTCTCCTCCCTTGCAGCTCTACGAGGGTGTGAAAGCTTCACATCCAGTCGGGTGAGAACAGGACAGGGCCCGCTTTGTGCGGTTCTCCCCTGCTGCCCCCCCCACTCAACAAGTGAATCCCGGCTCCGCTGTCCGTTTTAAACTGCTGTAAACTTTTTTTGAATAGAGGTGAGAGGATAAAAACCACAGGATTCTTTTAGCCTTCCTTTGGACAGGATGCCACCCACCCACCTCTCTCCCGGAAGGAGCCCACACCACGGCAGGGTCGGCGAGTCCCTCCTTGTGCCTGTCCTGCCAGCCGCAGGTTTGGAGCAGAAGGAGGCAGTGGGAGAGGGCTCAGAAACCTGGGCTGCTGCTGTAGTTCAGCCATGGTGTGTTGTGTCTGTGTGTGTGTGTGTGTGAGAGGACCCGAACCTCTCTTCCCCCCCCCGATGATGTCATTCTTGCCAGGGGCTCTTTGTGCTGAACTATCAAAGGCCCCCGGGGGGGGGGGAGGACCAACTAAACCAGGCCATATCAGGTGTTACGTTCATTGCACGACTTGTACAGGACTGGGGTGGGATGTCTTGGCAGGATGGGGCTCAGAACTGGATCTAGGGCAGAGGTGTCTTACCCCACCCCACTTTGCCCAGACGTGTGTGTGTGTGTGTGTGTGTGTGTGTGTAGAGCCGTAGGTGTGGGGCATGGATGGTGCTAAAGAGAGCCGCCCTCTGCTTGTTTCCTCCCTCTTGGGGTCTCTTCGGGGCCCGTCCGAATGGTCCTCGTCTCTTGCCGCCGTTCCCTGGCGCTGAACTCAAGGTTTCCTATTTAAACGATAACCCAGCCCGCTCCCTTTCTTTTGCGCTTGGCTTTCCTCCTATTCATCGGACGGGCGGTGGTTGCCCAGGGGGAATGATTAACCCCGAGACCACAGGCAGAGCTTCTGGGACCCATGGACCTGTCAGGGAAGGGGGGTCCTGGGGGGGGGTGAGAAAGCTCTGGAGGCTTCCTCATGTTTGCACTTCTTCCCCACCCCACCCCTGCCCCAGCACGGCTATTCTTTGCACGAACTGAGGAGGGACATGCACAAGCCAGGAGGAACTGACAGCAGGGAGGTCAAGGGGGCCACGAGCCAGCGTGTGTCTCAACCTGAGATGCTCCAGACCAGCGAGAAGGGGGAACCCGCTCAAGGCGCCCCGAGGGCACCGGGAGAGGCCAGGGGGCAGCGGGCGGCCCCAGAGAGTACTGTCAGGTTCTTCCTGGGCCGTCCAAGAGAGGATCGTGATCCTGCATGCAGTGGTCAAAGAGAGCAGGATGTTTGCAGTGCGACCTTGCAGGATCTTTCTGGGCTGAACGATGGAACCTCTTTGCTTCGCCGTCTGGCTGGCCTTTAGGAAATCCCAGTTCGCATCTGGTTCAGGTCCCTGGACGGAAACCCCCCGTGTGGTCGCTGATGCACCCTGGGGCTCACCCCGACGGCTGGGCCTGGGAGCCGGTGGGCTTCATTGCAGCCCTAAAAACTCACGGGGTGACCTTGGGCTGGTCTCCCTCCTCCTCTTCTCGTGGCCTGCCTCACAGGGTTCTTGTGTGGATGAAGGACATGAGCTCACTGAAGGGGAAGGGGAATACAAGGGTAACCCGTTAATCAGCAATTAATCTCATTAGTGGGAGCTGAAAAAGACGTCTGTCCCTACCAGTAAGAGGAGGAGGAGGAGGAGGCAGCCCTGTGGAGCAGGGCCCTTTTGGTGTTCTTTCAGAGGCCCCTGCACTCCCCCCCCATGGGCCAGGCTGGAGAGGGAAGCCGAAGCTTGGCAGCCCCTTGTTTGCCACCTGGGAGGTCTTGGGTTGGTGGCCCAAGAATCTGGTGTGGGCGTCAGGCCTCCTTGGAGGTGGGTGGGATCATAAGGGGTGTCTCTGGTTCATCCCATAGAGCCAGAGGCCTCAGGCAGCTCTGCTCCTTGGGCAGCAGTTCTTGTCCCGGGGGGGGACCTCCTCCCTCCTGAACCTGCCTCTTCTCTGATGGTCCTGCAGTTTGCCTCTGGTCTTCTCTCCCAACAACTGCCCACCCAAGGCTTGGCCCTTTTCAATATTTCATGGGGTTTTGTGCCCTCTGAGCCTCCCTCCCTCCCTCCCTCCCTCCCTACTGCCCACCCAAGGCTCGGCCCTTTTCAATATTTCATGGGGGTTTGTGCCCTCTGAGCCTCCCTCCCTCCCCAGAGCTGAAAAGCAAACTCACAGTAAAAGCAGCCCACGTGAGCATTTTGGGGGAAGGCTGCTCCCCTCCCCTCCTTGCTGGCACCCGCCGGGGCTCCCCTCTGGGGACGCTGGAGGGGCTGCAGGAGAAGCCTCTTGCTCCCCAGCCCATCTCTCCTCTTTGTTCCCGTCTGGAGAGGAAAGTGTGACTTCTTTCCACTCCCTCACACGTTCCCCCCCTCCCGTCCTCCCCACCTCCGGCAGCCAAGCAGCCGACTTAGATTTATGAGGAGTATAGAGCGTGCCTGTTGTCACTGCAGGAGGAGGAGGAGGAGGAGGGCCAGGGGCTTTAGCTGCAGCTGGTGGAAGGTCTGACTCTGGCCGGCCGGCCAACCGGCTGCTGCTTGCCATGGAGCCGGTCGGAATTTTCCAGTCGTGGGCCACCACCAGGTGAGCAGCCAGGAGCCGAGAGTGGGGTCCCTGCCAGGGCGGGAACAAGCTGCGTCCTCGTAAAATGAGCTTTTGTGTGTTGGGAGGGCCATGGGAGGGGGAGAGGGGCTGGATCCTGCACCACAAACTCCCAGTCCCCAGAGAGGTCACAGCTCAGGGCTCCAGGGCTCCCCAAGGCTGCCCCTTGAGCCCCCGCTGCCCGGCTGCTTTGCACGGCTAGTGGCTCCCTCTGGGCTGCCAGATCCTGGCCTCACAGGAAGAAGGGTTGAGAGATGGGGGGGCAGAGGGGGTGGTGGCATCCACTCTTCCTGTGCAACAAAACGGTGCAAACTCCTGGGCACTTTGGAGAGACCATCTGACTTAATGTGTGGCCGGGGCTTTCTCTGCATTGAACTCCAATGAAGTGTGAAGTGGACCCCAAGAGGTTCAGTTCTATCTGCTTTGTGCTGAAGATGGGGGAGGGACGTGAAATGTCAGGTCGGAGCCTAGCCTAGAGATGCTTCCTCTCTGGACTCTTAACCCCCAAAAATCTCAGAAAGGGACGCCAGGGAGACTGACCGATTTGCGTCCAGCGTCCAAGGTTGTTTGCCGCCTGAGTGTTCACAGAGTAGAGCCCCCTTTTTGCAGGTGAGGTTGCGCACTCACCACATGCACCCCCCCCCAATGGGCCTTCTGTCCATCCGTCCGTCCGTCCAGGCAGGCTCTGACCGGCTGCTGTGGCTCCTCCAGGTGGGTCCACATTCACCACATGCACCCCCCCATGGGCCTTCTGTCCATCCGTCTGTCCAGCCAGGCTCTGACTGGCTGCTGTGGCTCCTCCAGGTGGGTCTCCCTCTGCGTGGGGGGCGGGGGGGCTTTCTCCATGGCCTCCTCTCTTCCCCCTGGTGAAGTGGAGATGGCGTGTGCGAGCGTGGGAGGGGGGTTCCGCCGAGGGCCTATTGCCTGCAGAACAGGGCTTCTGCCGCTGGGCAGTGGCCTCCTCGGAATGGGGAAGGGTCATAAAAAGGGACTCCCCCCCCGCGACACAAGCAGTGTGATGGGAACACTTGTCAGGAGACCAGGAGAGGAACTGTGGGGCCGAAGTGCTCCAGCACGCCACGACAGTGGCATAGAGCTCTGGCATAGATTATGCCCAACCGGAGGGGGGGGGATACTTTGGGGTCCCCTCCCCAGAGGTGTCCTGAACTGCCACTCCCATCACTCCTTCCTGGTGGGTGTCCTCGCCAAGGGGCAGATGGGACTTGTAAGCCTGGGATGCAAAGTAAGGGCAGCCGCCTGTCTCAGCCCTAGAATTTGGTGGGCATTCAGACTTTGACCCATTTGAGTCTTGGTCCAAAGAGTGAAGCCATCATCATGATTTAGGCCTGGAGCAGAGTGGCCCCAATCCCCATGGCTGTTTCTACTTCATTAATTCCATGCGGGTGCCTCCCTTGGAAGTTCCTTCTTTGATGAGCAGCCCCAAGGAGGTGGGATGACATGGTCTCTCCCCCCCCCAACCCCTTCCTGCCAATTGGGGGTAAAATGTCATGCATCTGGGGAGGAGAGCTGCGACCCAGGAAGGCTTTGAATGCAGTAAATCGGCTTGGCTTTCGTCTGCCCCGAGACTTGGGTTTTTTCCTACCTAGTTTGGTCCTGTACATGTCTACTCAGAAGTAGCTTCTGTTGAGCTCAGTAGGAGTTAGGCCCAGGTAGGTGGAGGGTTGGGGTGGCAGCCGAACATTGCTAGCTGGCTGTGGCAGGAGATTGCTCCTAGCCTCAGCTGTTCACCTGCAGGATGGGCTTCCTTGTAAATTTCCCATCCGGTGTGCCTTGTAGGGCTGACCACAGGGGGCTGCAGGAGGAGGTGCAAGGAGGGAAAGGGCTAACTCTGGGGCTCCTTCTCCCTTGGCTTGCAGGTCACACGGGACGCCTCCTGCGCGCTCTCTTAGCCACCAGCATCCTTTTCCTCCTCGCCCACCTGGTCTTCCAAATATGCCTCTACACCATACCAAGCTTGGACCAGCTTCTGGGACACAACTGTGAGTACCCCCTTCCCCCCCCCGACAAAGGGTCCATGTGAGTGCGGTCTCAGAGGGAGGCTGGGAACAAGATGAACGATCCCTTGCTCCTTTCTCTGGGCTGAGGAACTGGATGCGATCCTGGCCGAAGGAGAAAAAGCGGGAGATTGAAGATGGAAAGACTAAGCATGAAAGGGTCTGATCTGCACTCATTGCCACTGGAGGTCTGGGCTCAGATCTGGGAGAGGCAGGATCTGGACCCCGTTGGTCCATGATTCCTGCTGACCTTTGTGACCGAGGAGGAGGTTGAGCTTCTTCCCTTTGGAGGACCAGTCGCAGAGCAGAGCAAGGCTAGTTCTCTCTCTCTCTCTCTCTCTCTCTCTCTCTGTGTGTGTGTGTGTGTGAGAGAGAGAGAGAGAGAGACTGAGAAGAGGTCCTTCTGTGACAATCGGCTGTTAAGGAATTTCCTCTTTTAATGACGGGATCTTCTGTGACAATCAGCTCTTAAGGAATTTCCTCTTTTAATGACGGGATACCTGTAACATTAGACGCCTTGAGAATCTTGAAACTCGCCGGGCCGTATCTCGTGCCAGGGATTCTCTGCCCTTGCCCTGTCCACAGGCCTGGTGTGAGGATAAAACAGGGAGGGAGATCGCCATGAAGAGACCACCTTGAGCTTGTGGGAGGGAAGGGGGCATGGAAATGTAAGAAGCCAGTAAAAGGAACTTTGCTGTCTTGCCTTTCTTGCGGTCCCCTTTCTGGATTGCAGCTGGGCAGCCAGAGAGAGGGAGGCTTTTTGCAGAGCAGGCCCCTCCTGCCTCTCCAAGCCTGTGCTTGATCCCACTCTCAAGAGGAAACAGCACCACCACCACCACCACCCCGCTGTTTGCCCACAGGATGCTTTGTGTGTGTGTGGGGGGGGTGACACTTGGGCTTATCAAAGCTATTTACAAGCGGCCGTAAAGCCAATCCCCAGGAAGGCCAGGGCTGGCCCTTCTGCAAGGCCCTTGTGTCTCCTGCTGCTTGTTTTTCTTGAGCTTGTCCTTGGCATGCTGGGCGCACTATCCATGGGGGCGAGAGCCAGGCGGAGGTGGAGGAGGAGGAGGAGGCGTCTGGCAGACCCCCACGGCGGCCGGAGGTGGAATCGGAGGCATCAGAGAATGGAAATCCTGCCTGGCCCTCCCTCTCTTCTCTTGTCCATGTTCCACACGTGGAAACTTCAAGCCTCTGTTTCTTCTCGGTCCCTTCCAGATGGAAAGGCTCCCCCTGTCAGGACCTAATTTATCAGATGAGCAGCTTGGGAAGTGGAAAGACTTTTATCCTAGCACAAAGTTTACAAACAAAGTTTGTTTGTAACAAACAAAAAATGCAGGGGAAGCTGTTTCGGTCCTAAGGCAAATCTCCAAATCCTTTATTAGGGCCACCTCAAAGGATGCAGGAAGGCCAAACATCGTGCTGGCCAGGGGATTCTGGGACTTGTAGTGCAAAATGTGGCTTTTACAAGCTCTGTCACCCTTGGTCTTTGCTACGTCCCTTGCTCCTCTTTTACCAGTTTCAGAGCAGTGGCAACGGGAGAGGGTTTGCCCAGCCGCTGGTGGGTAGCTTTTCTGGTGGCTGGGTCACAACTTGGTTTTGCTTTATTTAGGCATGCGCGAAATCCCGCGCCCCCCCCAGGTCACTTTGTTTTCTGGCTTAGAACACCCAAATGGCTTCCAATCAAGAATTTAATGCAGATACCATCCACATGTGTAAAATGTAAACCATAATAAAGAGGCAACAGAAGACAGAAACCCAGTTCAGCTCGTAAAGGAAGTCAAGGAAGTATGATGCCATCTCTGGGCAGCAAAGCCCCCCGTCTTCCACCGGCTGCTTTAGCCCTGGATTCCTGGCACAGAGACGGGGCACCGTTCTTGCTTGTCCTGAGCCAGCAGGCTTTCTCAGGTTCTGTATACAAAGTCCTCGTGAAAGGTGTATAATTAGGCCATGATAAGGACCTTTCCAAACAAGTCATTGGAAAGGCAAACTGCTGCTTGTTTTTAGTTGTCAACAGTATTCCTGTAATTTGCAAAAGCGATCTTGTCCATCATCATGTGGAGCCCGATGGACTAGCTGAATTCTTTGCCCAAACCCCGAAGTCGGGCCACTGCTGGGTATAAACAATGCGAATGTGCATGCATTTTTTCCTTTGGGCAATGTTATGCTTTTGTGCCATTCAGTTTCAGGCGACGGATACTTTAAAGTAAAGCAATTAATGTGAGGCAAGTGTGCGAATTAAAACTAAACCCACAGAGTCTTATCAATGGTCTTTTGAGGTCTCTCTGGACTTTGCACTCCCTTCTGTGCAGCTGGTCCTCTAAACAGCTGGCAGCCTGGATCTGGCAAGAATGCTGAGGTGGTTGATCCCAGAACCTATCAAAGCAAGCAGGGTGCGTGCAACGGCCCGCATTTTATTTATTGACACCTTTCTATGGCATGGTTGCAAGAAAATGAAGTTTAATTGTCCTCCTGTGCCATCAAGCCCATTCTGACCTAGGCTGACCCTTTACAGGGTTTTCTGGGAAGAGAATTCTCAGAAGTGGTTTCCCCTTCCCTTCCTCTAGGGGGCGCCCTGGGACTACCATGCAGCTTGCCCAAGGCCACCCAGGCTGGTCCTTCTCCTGGGAGGCCCAGTGGGGGAATCGAACTCCCATCCAGAGACCTAAACCCCTGAGCTGTCCAACCAGTAACATATATCGGAGATGTTAGAGAGGAGTCCAAGCCAGTCTTGATCCAGATGTCCGGGGGGGGGAGGGAGGGAAGTAGGTCAACCAGACAGGGCTGGTGAAACTGACCACATGAAACTGATCTAGGTTTAGGAGATGGGTCTTAAGGTCTGTAATAAATAAGTGGAAGTAGCCTTTCAGTGCATAGGGGCCTCCTCTTCCATTTCCCCCCTTTCGATTTCTGCTTTATAATTTTATTTTGTTTTATAACTTTATTTAGTCCCCCCAGCCAGCCAGGGGGTGGGGTGTTTCTGGA